ACTCCAGGATCATGACCTGAGCCGAAGGCAGTCGCTTAACCAACTGAGCCACCCAGGCGCCCGAGAGGTCCTTTCTATGAGCAAAGTAGGAGAAAATTCTCAAGTGCTCCATAAAAGTTATGTGCATGTGGCTGACTTTCAATTTAATATTTGGCAAATCATGCAGAACAAAATATTTTTTTCAAAATGGCTTGACGTAGGGCCTGCATTATCCAGATAGATCACATTTAGTCAGCCCTCAACTCTTACTAGCTTTTTTACACACAGTTTGAGATGGCTTGGATTCAAACCAAGAAAAATTTTTAGTAGTAGAACACAAAAGAAACAAAAAATCCAAATTTTATAAAAATCGCAACTTGCTACATCTAAAGGAGACATAGTTTATTTAGCAGATCTTACATAAATTATAGCATTTAGTTTTAGTGGGATTTTAACAATTTTTGTTTTTTTTGTTTGTTTTTTTTTTTTTTAAGATTTTATTTATTTATTTGAGAGAGAGAATGAGATAGAGAGCATGAGGGGGGGAGGGTCAGAGAGAGAGGCAGACTCCCTGCTGAGCAGGGAGCCCGACGTGGGACTCAATCCCAGGACTCCAGGATCATGACCTGAGCTGAAGGCAGTCGCTTAACCAACTGAGCCACCCGGGCGCCCCAACAATTTTTGTTTTTAAATAATCTATTAAGTACTTTAAAATATGAGTATAAAAAAGGGTGCCTGGGTAGCTCAGTTGGTTAAGCATCTGACTCTTGATTTCAGCTCCAGTCAAGATCTCAGGTTCTTGGGATCAAGCCCCATATCGGGCTCCTCACTCAGAGGGGAGTGTGCTGGAGATTCTTTCTCCCCCTCTCCCTCTGTCCCTCCCCACCCCTTGCCCCTGCTCACACTCTCTCTCATAAACAAATAAATCTTTTTTAAAAAAAAATATGAGTATAAAAAGATATGCTTTGAGGAGATATGGTCCAACAACTTGGTGCAATTTAGTAGAGGAATGTGTTTATTACTCTGAATAATACTATAGTTTTTATTGAACTTCTATTAGCTTTATATCTGGCTAACAGATAATTAGCTGAATTACGGAAGTTACTTACCTGCTAGTAGGTATCTTGATTGTTATTTTAAGTATACAGATCCTATACATGCTTTGTTACATTTATACCTAAATATTTCAGTTATTTGGAGCTTTTGTAAATGGTACTTTTAAAAATTTTGGTTCCCAATGGTACATTACTTGTTTGTAGAAATGCAGTTGATTTTTATGTGTACACCTTGTATCAGCACCTTTGCAAAACTCAACATACTTATTGGTCCTACAAGTGTTGTTATAGATTCCTTGGGAGTTTCTATGTAGATAATATTTTACTTCTTTTATTTCTTTTTTTTGCCTTATTACACTGGCTCTAATGTCCAGCACTATGTTGAATGATAGTAGTGACAACAGATATCCTTGCATTGTTCCTGATCTGAAGGAAAGTCTTTCACTATTAAGCTAAATGTTAGCTATAGGTTTTTGGTAGATACTTCTTTTTTTAAAAAATATTTTATTTATTTGACAGAGAGAGACACAGCGAGAGAGGGAACACAGCAGGGGGAGTGGAAGAGGGAGAAGCAGGCTTCCCATGGAGCAGGGAGCCCGATGAGGGGCTCGATCCCAGGACCCTGGGATCATGACCTGAGCCAAAGGCAGACACTTAATGACTGAGCCATCCAGGTTCCCCTGGTAGATACTTCTTATCAAGTTGAGGAATATCCCTCTATTTCTAATTTGCTGAGAATTTTAATTATGAATGGGTGTTGGATTTTGTCCAGTGTTTTTTCTGCATCAGTAGATATAATCATAAGCTTTTTCTTTCTAACATGTTGTGATGGATTACATTTATTGATTTAAATGTTGATCCAGCCTTTCATCCCTGGAATAAATCTCATTTGATCATGATGTATAATTCTTTTTATACATTGTTTAATTTGTTTTACTAATATTTTGTTGAGGATTTTTTGCATCTCAGTTCATGAGAGATAGTGGCCTGTAGTTTTCTTTTCTTTTCTTTTCTTTTCTTTTCTCTTTTCTTTTCTTTTCTTTCTTTCTGTCTTTCTTTTGTACTGTTTTGTCTGGTTTCTATAACATGACAATCTCTTAAAAAATAGTTTATGCTTGTCTTTCCCCCTTTCTCATGAACACTCAGATTCCTTTCTTTACTTCTTTATTCTCTCTTCCACCCTCCCTTCTTTCTCTCTCTTTCTCCTTCCTTCCTTCATTCTTTCCTTTCTTCTATCCTTCCTCCTTTTGCTTTCTTTATTTCTGTGTGTTTGTGTGTGTGTGTGTGTATGTGAGAGAGAGAGAAAGACCGTAAAAAGAAAAATCAGCAGTATGTTTTCCCTCTTCTTCCTTAACTCTTTTCTTTTTCTCTCATTTCCTCTTTCTGATCTCAGATTATAAATTTGTTGTGGCCATTAACATCTCATATTTTTTCAAAGGTAATTTTACTCATTCAAGAACTTTACCAAAAGAAACACCAAGCTCAAACACATGCACACACATATACACTTGTGCATGTACAACCCCGATGATCTTTTATCTAACTTGCCCCTTGTATGACATCAATACTGAAACCTATGTTTCATCATAGTATAAATCTTTGATTTAAACATTTTTTAAACATTATTATACTTTTCATGCTTCAGAGTTTTAATATTTATTTCAATGGCCTTATAATAGGCCACTGAATTGGTAGCTTAAATATTTAATTATTTCCTAACTCTTGAGAATTTAGATTGTTTCCTTTGTGGTTATTTTAATGTAGTAATTATTTGCATCTTTGTGCATAGTAAATTTTTTTAATGATTATTCTTGAACTTTGTTTTAGTAGTGGATTATTGGTCCAAGGCAATAAGCACATTTATGATTCACTGCATATAATACTCTTACACAACTGAGCTGTTTTATAATTCTAACATTATGGATTCCCAATAAAAATTTTTAATTAAAAGTAATAGATGTCTGAAACAATTAGAGAAGTTATGAAAAGATCATAGTCTCTTACCTCCACTTCCTCACATTCACAGTTTCTTCCTAGAGGACATGAGGCCCAGATGGATCCAGGCTCACTCCAAGCCCTAGTGGTGGCTCTCTTAGTGATCGGGCAACCCAGAGACATGTACTCAGGATGCCATCTTCCAAGAATGCTCCAGAACTTCCTTTCCTTATTTTTCACAATATCTTTTTAATATTTGTAAAAGGTGCAGCAGTGTCTTCTGTACTTACTATTTCTTTTATAAATAAAATAAATACAACCTTTCCTCCAAGGAAGCGTACGCTAATCCCTGTGAACTCCTCCCCTGCAGAGTTGAGGCTTTAACTCTGAAAATGACAACTTGCACAGCTTTTTCTTATTATTACATAAATAAATCATGGTAATTATTTTTCAGGAGGAAACCATTAAAAAAAGCTAAAAGAGGAAAATAAAGATTGCTCAAAATTTTACAAGTCTGATAACCACTAAGAACATGTTGGTATTCTCATAATTT